TGAAACCACAATAATGGGGAAGACTGCTGACTTGGCAATGGTCCAGAAGACGATCACTGACACCCTCCACAAAGAGGGTAAGTCTCAGAAGCTCATTACTGAAAGAGCAGCTGTTCACGGAGTGCTGTATCAAAGCATATTAAATGCAAAGTTGACTGGAAGGAAGAAATTGGGAAGGAAAAGGTGCACAAGCAACAGGGATGACCGCAAGCTTGAGAATACTGTCAAGCAAAGCCGAATCAAACACTTGGGAGAGCTTCACAAGGAGTGGACTGAAGCTGGAGTCACCACGCTCAGACGTCTTCAGGAAAACTCCATAAACAGAAACAATGTCAGAAGCATCTCACCTGGGCTAAGGAGAAAAATAACTGGACTGTTGCTCAGTGCTCCAAAGTCCTCTTCTCAGATGAAAGTACATTTTGCATAATCATTTGGAAATCAAGGTCTGGAGGAAGAAATCCAAGGCACAGAATCCAAGCTGCTTGAAGTCCAGTGTGAAGTTTCTGAAGTCAGAGATGATTTGTGGAGCCGTGGCATCTGCTGGTGTTGCTCCATTGTGTTTTATCAAGTCCAAAGTCAATGCAGCCGTCTACCAGGAGATTTTGGAGCACTTTATGTTTCCATCTGCTGACAAGCTTTATGGAGATGCTGATTTCCTTTTCCAGCAGAACTTTAGCACCTACCTACAGAGCCAAAACCACTTCCAATGATATTACTGTGCTTGATTGGCCAGCCAACATGCCTGACCTGAAGCCCATGTGGAATCTATGAGATATCTATCTATAATATCAAGAGAAAGATGATAAACAGTGGATCAGAGCTGAAGCTCACTAGTGCCTCAGCAGAGCCACAGGCGGATCGCTTCCATTCACTCCTCACTGATGCTGGAGTTTGTGCTAAACGAGCCCCGACCAACTATTGAGTGCAGAAATTAACATACTTTAAAGAATTTGAGCTTTTCTGTTTTGCAAGTCCTTTTTTTTATTATTATTATTTTTTTTGTGATCTTAGGAAATATTCTAATATTTTGAGATACTAGATTTTTTACTTTCATGAGCTGTAAGCTCTAATCATCAAAATTAAAGCACAAAAACTTTTGAAATGTTTTGCATTAATGAATCTAGAAAATATGAAAGTTTCACTTTTTGAAATGATTTTTTTTATGATATTCAAATTTTTTGAGATGCATCTGCCATATGTATGTGTGTTAATGTGCATGTGTGTGTATATATATATATATATATGCGCGTGTATGTATGTGTAAATGGTTTAAATAAAATGCTATAAAATATAATTTAATTCAATAATTTTATTAATATAAATTATTTTTACATTCATTTTTTCAAAAATACATACACACAAAATAACTATATATAATTAACAATTATTACATGTAAATGAACTAATAATTCATATTATACAATATTAAATATTACTATGAATAATTAATGATATGCATTTGTTTACATTATATATAATATGAAATTTGTTTAATTATCTAATTATACATCTGCTAAATGAAAAGTAAAGTGAAAGTAAATATTATATGATTATGTAAATGCTTGGTTTTTGTTTAAATAAACTTTTATAAAATAAAATTTAAATAAGCAATTATTATAAAATTATTAATAATAATTGTATGCACACAGTTAATGATTAATAATTGCCTTAATAGGTTTATATAAAAAAATCTATTTAAATTTCATATTATTACTATAATATATTAAGAATTTTATACACCATTAGCAATAGAGTATACACAATTAATTGTTTATATAAATGAATACCTTAGTCTTTAATGCTTAACTATTAATTTTATATAATTATCTAAATGTTTTACTTTTATTTGAATAAAATAAAGTAAAGTTTTTTATATTTATGAAAAATGCATGCTCTCTCTCTGTTCATTCTCTCACAGTGTTTCTCATTAAACATTTGTGTGTGCTGCTCTCTATTAGGTCCTGTGGGGTGTCTCCTCCGGGGTCTGTTGAATTCAGAGGACTGTGGGCATCTATTGTTGTGTTTTGAGTCTGAAAGCAGCTGCTCCTCATCAGTTCTGTCCACACTTCAGCATTGTTTCTTCCCACAGGAAACACGTTTAACCGCGTGACACGAACGCGAGTGACTTCGCAGAATCCAGTGCACGAGAAGCTCAGATTTATGTCTGTTTCTGTCTGCGGCGTTCGTCTGCTTTTCATCATGCCTGTCTCTGTCTCCGCAGGAGGAGTCTGTGATAAAGACGGTGCATCTGAAGCAAGAGCACGTCTGCGTGATCGAGCAGCTGGAGCAGACCATCGAAGACCTGCGCAGTAAGATCGCCGAGCTGGAGAAACAGCAGCCCCTGCTGGAGCGGGAGGTGCTGCTGACGCAGGACCAGGAGTGCGGAGCAGAGGAGCGCCTCCTCCCGGACGTCTGCCATGTGGACCTGCAGACGGAGAACACTGCGCTGCTGCTGCTGGAGGCCAAATCGGTGCAGACGTCTCCCATGGAGGAGAGCTTTAGGTTTAAAGTGCCTCCTGTGGAGGCGCAGGGGCCCGGGAGGAGTGACTCCTCGCTGCCATCAGAAACTGAAAATGCTTCTCAAGCATTTGTGTGCATATGCCAGCAGCTGCCGGGCGCTTCGGTGCCTCCTCCACCACCACCTCTTCCTCCATCCGGGATGTGTGCACCACCTCCTCCACCTCCACTTCCAGGAATGAGCGCTCTTTCTGCTCCACCTCCTCTCCCATGCAGTTCATTTCCTCCTCCTCCACCTCCTCTACCAGGAGTGGTTACACCTCCTCCTGCGCCTCCTCTACCAGGAGTGGTTGCACCTCCTCCTGCGCCTCCTCTACCAGGAGTGGTTACACCTCCTCCTGTGCCTCCTCTACCAGGAATGGTTGCACCTCCTCTACCAGGAATGGTTGCACCTCCTCCTGCGCCTCCTCTACCAGGTATGGTTGCACCTCCTCCTGCGCCTCCTCTACCAGGAATGGGTGCACCTCCTCCAGCGCCTCCTCTACCAGGAATGGGTGCGCCTCCTCCTCCGCCTCCTCTGCCAGGAATGGGTGCACCTCCTCCTGCGCCTCCTCTACCAGGAATGGGTGC